CGCCCCCTCCTCTGTCCCGCAACGAACCAGGTCTAATGTGCATGCACGGAAATGGCCACTCGCGCGTATTAGACTTCCCCTAAGGGGATTCCGACAACGCTGGGGGACCCCATGCATAGCGTGAGGAAGTCCAGCATCATTTAAAACACTTTTCGTGTTCTAAGAAACCGAAACCACCATCTAGTGGCTGTCTGAGAAATATTCAAAATAAACAGGGCTAAGGAGAGAGGGACAAGGCACCCAGACCACTCCAATGAGCTGAAGTGGTTTGGGTGCCTGGAGTGTCCCTTTAATATAAAAGTAATAGGTGAGTTTAATGTTTTCAGCTGAATTTTACAAATGTGCAGAGAGATTTTTTTTGTTGCAACTACAGTATCTCACAAAAGTGAGTACACCACCTCCCATTTTTGTAAATATTTTATTATATCTTTTCATGTGACAACACTGAAGAAATGACACTCTGCTACTATGTAAAGTAGTAAGTGTACAGCCTGTATAACAGTGTAAATGTGCTGTCCCCTCAAAATAACTCAGCACACAGCTATTAATGTCTAAACCGTTGGCAACAAAAGTGAGTACACCCCTAAGTGGAAATGTCCAAATTGGGCCTAACTAGCCATTTCCCCTCCCCGGTGTCATGTGACTCATGTGTGTTAAATTTGGCGTTATCACTGTTACAGAACACTGGGAAGCAGCAATTAAACACAATTTAAAAAGAAAACAAATTAGAGACTATTGCACAGCAACTAAATAAGCCTCCTAGAGAGGCAAAACACATTTTGTTAAGGCCTACACAGACTGCAAGAACTTATCGTCTTCTATATGTTTATTTTTAATTTTTTTATGTTTTGTGCACTTTATTATCAATAAAGCACTTTGAATATACTACCACCCGTAGCTACAATAAAATATATTGCTGTTTTGCTCCAAAGGAGAGGGAGTGGGACTCCTAAATCCCACTAAGCTGATAATTTGAGCTAAGAATTTACTGAGTGCATTTTTTTTTTTTTTTTTATAAATTCATTTTTTATTATACTTTTACAAATTTGACAAATATCAAACAAGTATTAAACAATTGAGTTCAACATCATCTTTCATTTAGCAAACCAAATTAGCGTGTCAAGATGTTACAATGATTCACCATATATTTTGTTTCTTGATTAAATAGTTTTACACATTAGTATCTGGCATTGGTATATTCTTGAGTTGAGCTCTTTTTTCAATGTTTGAATCGTCACGTAATATGTAATACAAAAAACATAAATAAGACCTACTGAATACAAAACATAAAAAACCTGGGATCAACTATCGAGAACAAGGAAGGGGACAGAATCAGTATCGCTTCTTTAATATATTAGTTCATTTAGTGGATCTAGAGCCATTTCGGAAAGGTATTATTAGGAATTTACCATAAAGGAGTATCCATGCCAGGGTTTGTTAGTTTTACTTACACATGGGTATTCTATTCTTTATAGTAATCAAACCATTTTGTCCATATCTTATTATAAGAACCAATAATATTATTGTTAAAATAAACCTTTTTCCATTATACCTTGGTATTGGATCTGGGCATTAATCTCTGTTATAGAAGGAGGTATGTTCTGTTTCCATTTTCTGGCAATACATAGTTTGACGGCCATCAAGACATGTATGGTCAAGTACTGAGATGGTTTATCCATTTTTGGCAGGTCTAGGTGGAATAAAAATCTTTCTGGGGATAAAATAATATTCAATTTTAGATCAACAAGAAGTTTAGACACTCCTGATTTAAGAGTGTCCAAACCAATACAATCCCACCAAATATGTTTAAATAAGCCACATTCGTTATTACAATGCCAACAGACATTTGAAGAATTTGTATGAAATGTACATGTTTTCGTAGGGACCATATACCATCTATGGATAAGTTTGAGAAATGTTTCTTGTATATTTATACAATGGATCGTTTTCCTTAATGCTTCAAATGAATTTAACCTTGACAGGAAAAAGATTTATTTAACTCCGTTTCCCATCTAGAGATAGTATTATGTTTTACTTCCTACCTCCAAATATCTAACTATTGAGGATTTATTTTTAGCCTCTCCAGAAGATAAGAGGATCTTATCGAAGGGTGAGTCCTTAATTATAGCTGTCTTATGGAGAAAATCTCTTATTCTTAGATAGTTGAAGTATTCTTTATGTGGTAATCCAATTTTTTCCTGAAGATACGAAAAACTACCAATCCCAGAGGTACCATATAGGTCCTGAATTATTGCCCTATCTCTAGCTAGCCACCCAGAAAGATTAAGGTCCTGAATAAAAAACTTTAGGATTTTCAGAGGGGCATTTGAAGAGATTTGATTTTGGGGGAAATAATATTTCTTTATCGGTTTTATAGATTGAAAAATGTGGGAAATAATTAGATTATCAATATGAAAATTTTGTACGAGTTTTTCTTATCCACCCAAAAATATCAAAAGGGTGAAAAGTACCACATATGCTCTTTTCGTATATATACCATGCTTTCCGCTTTGAATGATTGTTTCCCCATTCTAGATATTGTGAAAACATTACCGTATTGCAGGGCTTGACAAATTTGCTTTCAATGTAGGAGCCAGTTAATAAAGTTAGGATAAAACCATAAAAAGCACAACCTAAAAATACAAAGGGAGACCAATAGTGCAGACAAAAAATAACTAAATACTTAAAAAAAGAGGAACTATAAAACACTCACAAACATAGAAGTAAAAGGGCAGGGTATAATCAATCTTCTTCAAGTGCTTCTTCTTTTTCTTGTATATGAAGATGAGTACTTAGAACAAAGCACAGAAAAAAAACATAGTGTATAGCTGTATGGTATTCAGAAAAATTGCTTTATTTTATGCACTTACAAAATAAAAGAAGTAAAAGGGCTCATCAATTTAAATCACATCCGCTGTCTGCCATCCAAAATAGGTAAAACACCAAAGGAAGGGGACAAAAATGAATGCAAAGAGTCCAAAGTAAAAGAATATTCAAATTATGAAAATAAAGCTTGCCACCCTACGCGTTTCATCTGGGAGACTTCGTCAGGGGCTCGTGGCAATAGTACACCATACACATACAATAACATTTAAATACCCAACCTTAAAAAACCTTTGTCCAATCGCCAAAAAGAACTTCAAATCAAGTCCACCTGATGGTACTTTTTCTAACTTGTTCCGTTCCGTTTTCGCGCTTCTGGAAAGCGCTTGCGTCCCAAGCCTCATTTTCAGAAGTACCGGAAGAGGTCGCCGATCCACTTTCGGAACGCTTGTATTTCGTCATATCCGGTCGCAACCGGAAGTTATCATAAGTTCGGCAAAAAAAATCATCACTCTTTGGAACGCAAATGCGTTCCACTTCGGATAAAACGACAATGAAACTTCTGAAGATGGGATACACATAAACTCACAAGATAGAAGAAGAAAAAAAAGTTTTTAAAAATCCTCATACAAATAAAAATTAAAAATTAAAAATGATAATAAGGAATAATAAATGAATATAAAACAAACAATGAAAATAAAATAAAATAAAAATAAAATAAAAATAAAAATAAATAAAAATAAAAATAAATATAAATAATTGTTTAAAAATAAACCTCATAAAAACCACATCAAAAATTATTTAAAAATTATTTTATAGAAAACATGCCATATCAAAATCAACATTCATACCTTCAGGTTGCATTGTTTTAAGTGTGTGGATCCAATAACCTTCTCTTTGTCTTAATTTTAATAACAGATCACCACCTCTTTCATCCAAAAGCACCTTTTCAATCCCAATACACGAAAAGGTATTGGGATTGAAATTTTGACACCTATTGCAGTGAACAGGGACAGAGTGAGTTAATAGCTTATTTTTAATATTATTTTTGTGCTCCAAAAATCTTTTTTTCACCGGCCTGATCGTTCGTCCTACATATTGGGTTCCACACCCGCATGTCAGGAGATATACCACATGTGTAGAATTACATGTGATATACTCCTTGATTTTAAATTTATTTTTGGTTCTCGAGCTACAAAAATAATAAATTTTCTGGTTCTTATAGTGACAGCTTTTACATGAACCACAGGTGTAAAAACCTACATGTTTCTCCAATTCATTTTTAGATTTATTCCTAAAAGTGCTAGGTGCTAGGACATTTTTAAAACTCCTCCCTTTCTTAAAAATAACTTGTGGAACAGGTGGAAGTTCCGTCTTTAAAAAATCGTCTTCTAATAAAAGAGGCCAATGTTTGTTTAATATTTTTTTTAATTTGTTTAGCATGAACATTATATTGGGTATTAAAGGAAAAGGCAAATTTATTATTAATCAGTGGGGCTCTTTTTCCTTTATTAAGTAATAAATCCCCTCTTTTTTTATTAAAAGAATACATAATCTCTTTATTTATAAAATTATTAGTATATCCCTTTTCTAAAAATTTATTCTTTAAAAGAGAGGCCTGATCTAAAAAAAACTTTTTCATCTGTACAGTTGCATCTAATTCTTGTAAATTGACTTCGTGGAACCCCACGAAGCCAATTAGGGTGATGACTACTTTCTATATTGATATAGCTATTGGCATCAGTAGATATGAAAAAAGTTTTTGTCTTTATTTTAGCATCTTCAATAAAAATCGTCAAATCTAAAAAATTGATTTCATTATAGCTAAAAATAGGAGAAAAAGTTAAAAAGAATTGATTGAAATTGATATAATCAATAAAATCTTTCAAATTATTCTCTGAACCATTCCAAATAAAAAGTATATTATCTATATACCTTCTCCAGAGTACCAAGTTTGCGCCAAAAGGGTTGTTATTCCATATAAAATTATTTTCCCAAAAATCTAAAAAGATATTGGCATAACTTGGCGCGAACTTCGTATCCATGGCTGTTCCCTGTAATTGTAGAAAAAAATCATCATTAATTTTTTTGCATATTTGGTGCAAATCAATTTTGTTTCATAATAAAGTTAGGAGACAGGTTTTTTTACCCCTAAAGACAAAAGTACAATTCTTAAAGGAACACTATAGTCACCAGAACCACTACAGCTTAATATAGCTATGGTGTATATAGCCTGTCCCTGCAGACTTTTCAATATAAAAAAACGCCTTTTCAGAGAAAGGCAGTGTTTACATTGCTGCCTAGTAACACCTCTAGAGGCTGTCACTCAGATGGCCACTAAAGCACAATGTGCAGCACCTACATACAGCGTCTCCACAAGTGCAGCACCTACATTCAGCGTCTCCACACCCTGCATGGAGGCACTGCACGTTCCTCATAGAGATGCTCTTAATTGATTTAATGCATCTCTATGAGGAAATGCTGACGGCAGTTGATTATCAGGCGGGCCAGCTCTGGCGAGACCGGCACAGCGCTGTAAAAAAATTTAAAAAGAGTAAAAGCATCATTCCCATGCGATCGGAGGGGGCTGGTGGCCTAAACATACACATTTGTTGATGCACACACAGCCAGAGACACACATACTGAGAGATAGTCAGACACACACACGCACAGTGAAAGAGACTGTCAGACACACGTTGACAGTCAGACACACATTGACAGACAGAGACAGATAGACAGACAGAGACACACACATTCAGACACACTCACAAAGTACTATTAATACACTCAAATATATACACACACAAACAAACATTCATATATATACACACAGACAAATACACAGAGACATACACAGATTTAAAAAAAAAAATTTTTAGTCGCCCTCCTGTTTCCTACCTTTTGGGTTTCTTTTATAGGTTTCTGGGGTATAAATAAAACATGAAATAATTGAAGTATCTTCTTTGGAACTGGCTGTAAGAGGAATAGTACAGAAAAGGTATTCTAGTTTTGGGAGTAGATATGCTCTAATAATATTTATTCTTCCAAGCCAGGATATTTGTATTTTAGACCATTTTGAAATCGTATTTCTAAATTCTTCTAGAAGTATGTTGTGACAGATTCATCTGCATTGTTGGTTCGTCTGTTTCCCTTTGTTCGCGGAATTGCCTGTTCATATACCCCCGTTCGTATAATTTGCAAAATGCCGATTGAAACTACCGAACGAACGACCACCCAGGAGAGGAGTGTGCTGCTGGTTAACCTCTTGGCCCCAATTAGAACGTTGTGGTTAACCGCAGACACCTCTCCATTCCATTCGTACGGGTGGTCGTCGTTCGCATGTCGACCACGAGGCAGCGGCCATTTTGGGACATACGAACACAGAGCGGTGTTCGGTACAAACTGTATGGAACTAAAAACGGACACTTAAACTACCGAACACCGCTGAAAAGCTGCTGCCTACCTTCCTTTTCGACAAGGCATGCGAACGTCGGTCGTTTGGGAGTTTTATTCATTCGTATGGACTTTTACCCCGACAGCCATCCCATGGAGTCATTCGTATACCGAAGGACTGGTGAAAGACTTTGACTCCATGGCGATTCGACTAGATACATCGGATCTGAGCGCTGTTTGGTGAAAACATGCCCTCAGATCCAGGCTGTCTGGGGATACGTTACACGAACCATATGCATTCGGTATTTCTGTCGTTATGTATTTTAATGTATTTTTGTTATTGTATTTCAAGATGGCGATTGTCTCTACCTTGAGAGATAATTAGGTTTCTTCCCAATTATCTCCGAGGTAGAGAAGACGGAATTATGGGCCAGATGGGAAGGGCTATTATTGAAGCCACTGCGATTGGCTACTGTCTAATATGTTTTACAGTCTTCCACAAGGTCCCCTCGGGGAGTGTCCACCTTGTGGAGACCTGCATAAATACCGGGCAGGTAGCCCCCATTAAACAGAACTTCATTTGACCCTCAAGACGGAGCTTGGTCTCGTTTGTGGGGGGGAATTATTACTGGGACAGCGCTTTCGTTATTTCTAGCTGTGGAAGGCGTTCGACTGTTTGGCTGATCGGGAGTTGCCGTGTTCGTGGACTTCGTTCGGGAGTTTGGCGATCGGCTGGATTTAAACTGCATTTCTGGAGAAGGGGATTATTGCCTAAACGGCGGCTTCATCTACCCGACGGTACATGTCGTAACATATGTTATAATTATCAGTAGTCAACTCTTCAATATTAAAATTGATAATTATTCCCAGGTAACAAAGAGAGTCGGATCAGTTAAATTTATGATTATTATTTAAATTTTTTATTAGTTAATTTAAGAGATTATGATGTAAACTTGCGTTTTTTGCATATTAATTTTATAGTTAGAGAATCTACTATATTCTTCTATACACTGAAGTGTAGATGATATGGAAGATTCAGGATTTGTTAAGGTTATAATTATGTCGTCAGCAAACATAGTTATTTTGTGTTTTTGCTTGTCTAAATTCACCCCAGTTATGTTGTGATTTTGTCTTATATATGCTGCCAGTGGCTCAATAGAAAGAATATAAAGAAGAGGTGCCAATGGACACCCCTGGCGAGTTCCATTTTTAATTGTGAACCAAGCAGAGTCTAAAACATTGCCATATATTTTTGCCATAGGAGAAGAGTATAAATACATTGTTAAATCTTTAAAAGATCCCTCAATCCCAAATACGGAAAGTGTAGTGGTCAAGAATTTCCAGTTTACTCTGTTGAATGGCTTTTTGGCATCGACTGCTATAAAAACTGTAGACATAGATTTTTTTACCAACCACTATCATTATATTCAGAATCTTGCGAATATTGTCACTAGCTGATCTTGCTTTTATAAAACCAGATTGATCTAGATGTAATAGGTCTGAGATTATCTGGTTAAGTCTATCTGCTAGGATTTTTGACAATATTTTTATATCAAGATTAATGAGAGAGATCAAGTGGTAATTGGATATATAGTGTGGGTCTTTCCTGGGTTTCGGGATTGGGGAGTTTGTGGCTTTTAGCGTTTCAGAGGAAAAGCTTTTAGAATTTGTTATGTCTAAGAAAGTTTTTAATAGTAGGGGGTTATCACGGGCTCAAAGGATTTATAAAAATACGCTGTAAATCCATCCGGACCAGGTGCTTTCCCATTACTAAGCTTGGCAATTGTTCTCTTTATTTCCTCAGGTTCGATGGGTTTGTTTAAATTTACCAGTTTATCAGGCTTTAATTTAGGAAGATTAAGCTTTGAGAGGAAGGCTTTTAATTTGTTCTGGGAAAAACTATTTTCTTTTAAATTATATAATGTTTTATTATGTTAAATTATATTTTGTTTTGTGCACTTTATTATCAATAAAGCACTTCGAATATACTACCACTCGTGGCTATAATCAAATATAGTGCAGCTGCTTTGCTCCAAAGGAGAGGGAGTGGGACCCCTAAATCCCACCAAGCTGATAATTTGAGCAAATAATTTACTGGCTCCTCACTTGTGAGTGCATTTTTATATACCTTTTTTATTGCAACACTAGGATACAGACGATATTGCACTAGTGTTTGCTTTTCTCTTACTTTAGGATTATATTCGCCAAGGACCTATTACTTATCTTCCAAAGCTTATGTACCTACCCTCTTTGTACCTATTGCATATAGTATTTCTACTAAATGTAAGATACTGCACCATGTGTACCGTATTTTCCGGCGTATAAGACGACTGGGCGTATAAGACGACCCCCAACTTTTCCAGTTAAAATATAGAGTTTGAGATATACTCGACATATAAGACTACCCCTCTTCCAATGCACACCAAATAAAAATTAGCCATGATGTACAGTGAGCAGACAGCTACACAGCAAGACATTAAATAATAATAATCTGAAATAGCATTTAAAGCCCAGGTATGTGCCAGGCTGTTTGGGCATATAATCCATGCCCGCTGGTCTAGCACACAGGAGGCTAATTGCGATATATTCTTTTTACTCCCCCCTCCATTCTTTTTACTCCCCCACTGTTCTTTTTACTCTGCCCTCCGTTATTTTTACTCCCCCTCCTTTATTTTTACTCCCCCCCCAATACTCCCTACTTTCTTCTCACCTCCCTTTCCCTGTGCAGAGTGGGTGGCCGAGCTCCTCTTCGTCCTGTCAGTGTGCACTTCCTGTCAGTCCGGCCGGGAACAGGTAACTGAATCTCCTGTAGCGCGCGGTACCCGGCTGGACTGACAGGACAAAGAGGAGCTCGGCCACCCACTCTGCACAGGGAAGGGGAGGTGAGAAGAGAGGCAGTGCGGCAGCCGTCTGAGCGCTCTCTATAGAGCGCTCAGGCAGCTGCAGCATTAGAAGGGCCGGCGATGGGGGGCGCAGAGTGCCCCCTCCTATATGGTGCCCTAGGCAGCCATATAGACGACCCTATACCCAGCGTATAAGACGACCCCCGACTTTGGAGAAGATTTTCCAGGGTTAATATTTGTTGGTGTGGATTAAGGGGAACCCACACAGGTGTTAGAGTATCACATATGGATTGTACCATCACTGGGATTTTGCACTCAGATTGTTTATACGTTGTTTACTTTTTCCCCTTGCAAAATTTAAGTGGGTACTGACCATGTCAATTCTAGAAAATAGAGATTATCGCACTAACAATATTGATATGTGCTTTACCAATAACGTAGATCAAGCCACATCAGGGTATAACAATTACAATAAATGTAAATTGTAACAGAACTTTACTTTCTGCCTGGAAATATTTAGCACTAACAGAGACTAATGATACAAGGAAATATGCTTACCTGGTTCATGTGGATTATTGTAGCACAGTTCGGGACTTTTGTTGCCAGTATTCGTCTATTTGTGCAATCCATGCGGTAGAGACTCAGCAGGAACAAATACGAATACAAACTACCGAACACCGGACCACCCTGCTATTCAATTATGTGGTATTTTACCTCCCAGACCAGCATATACCATTCGTATGAGAAATGCACGAATCCTTTGTTTCAGATCCTAGGTGGCCGCCATTTCGGGACTTTTGCACGTGTTCGCGGCCATCTTAATGCACGAACAACAGTGATTTGCCGTCAAGTGTCTGGAACTAAAATCGGACACTCAAGTAGTGTCAGGGTCTTACCTGAGTTGGGAGTCTGTAGCGCAGATATGATGCTCACCCTTGCAGATAGCCACAGGCCGAGGTGGTCAGGTAAGAATTCACCTGGCCTGTGGGTCTGTGCACGGGGGCTGTGCAGGATGCAGTACCAATACGCAGGACAGGCAAGGACTGAACCAGCAGGATGGTCGAGGGATAGCCGAGGTCAAAGGATGCCAGAGGACAGGAACAACGAGGAGTAGCCGAAGTCAAGGGATGCCAGAAGTCAGAATAAACGAGTCAGGAAGCCGGGGTCAATAATGCGAAGCGATGAAACAGGAACACTGGAACAAACAGGATCAAAGACTTGACACTGAGCACAGGGCGAGGCTGGGTTTAAATACCCTGCTGATGACTGATCAGAGTCAGGTGAAACACAGCCAAGTCAAGGTGCAGCCCCCAGAGTAGTAGCCATGTCAGGATGAACAGGACTGGAATCAGTCTTCACTGTAAATAGCTGCTGTGGCTCAGAGGTAGAAAGCAGGACCAGGACTGAGAAGATCCCCGGTTCAAGTCCCCTGTTGGGAACTCCAAGAGCGACCACGTCTTGCCGTCTGTCTATCAGGTGAGAACCGTGACAGTACCCCCCCCTTTAAAAACGACCTCCGGGCGTAAATAGGTTCACTGTCAGCATAGTACACCTCTCCAGGGTCACTATCTGAATCCAGTGAGTCCCCATAGTCAAACTCCCCAGCAAGGATTCCCTTTACAGCTTGGGAGTCCGCAGTACCAGCTTCTGGTACAGCTGGAGAATTGTCCAGGTCTTTTAGGTTCCGGGTACAGGTGGCAAGCACTTCCAAAACTTTGGCAGGAGCAGTGTTCGCAGCTAACAATGCTTTTTCGAACATTTCAAGGTCTTCTTTACGGACTATTGTGCCATTAGAAGCAACGGCACAATCCACAGGTAAAACCTCTTCGGGCTGGCAGGAAGTAGTGGTGGTATCACAGGAAGCAACTTCGGGAGTAGATGCAGGAGGCTCTGGAGCAGGGGATGGAGGTTTTCTCGCCGAAGCCAAGCATGTGCAAGCACAACGGTTTCTATTTGGCTTTTTAGGCTGGTATGCGGTGTACACAGGGCGAAGGAAACTAGTACCAAGTCGGAGAGCTGGAGGTCTAGGAGGGCGAACAGGACAAAGCGTGATGAAATGCCCTTTTTCTCCACAGTAGTAACATAGGCCATAGCTTCTCCTTCGGTCTCTTTCCTTAGGTGTCACTTTGCAGTGGACGAGTCCTAATTGCATAGGTTCCACAGGGTCAAGTGGAACACCGGATACCTCTGGAGTTTTCCTGGGAGCTGGAACATAAGGAGGCATCTCTGGGGCGTAGTGGTGGTACTCGGTTTCTTGGTTAGGAAGAATCTGAGATTTTTTAGTACGTGGAGCTGACTTGGCCACAGTGGTCTTACATTGTGAGTCCATAGCAGTACTAAAGGATTCCCAGCTGACCAGGACAGGACTCTTCGTCTGCAACATTTGGTGAGCCCAAACTTTGATGCGTCCAGACAACAGGTTGATAGCCGCTCTGACCCTGATGAATTCTGTGGCATATGTTCGAGGCTTTAAAGAAAACAACACCTCACAATCCATCTTGAAAGACTGAAAGGATGTGCGGCTACCATCAAATCGGTCGGGCATGATGACAAACGGTTCAGGAAAAGCTGGTTCCGGGGCTGGATGTACTGCGCCTTTAAGGAATAAAATTTCTTGCTGCAGCTCCGAAACAGTCTGGGCCAGGCTGGACACACGCTGGGTCAAGGGTGAGCACATCTCTGCGGACTCCATAATGGTCAAGTCTTATGTCAGGGTCTTACCTGAGTTGGGAGTCTGTAGCGCAGATATGATGCTCACCCTTGCAGATAGCCACAGGCCGAGGTGGTCAGGTAAGAATTCACCTGGCCTGTGGGTCTGTGCACGGGGGCTGTGCAGGATGCAGTACCAATACACAGGACAGGCAAGGACTGAACCAGCAGGATGGTCGAGGGATAGCCGAGGTCAAAGGATGCCAGAGGACAGGAACAACGAGGAGTAGCCGAAGTCAAGGGATGCCAGAAGTCAGAATAAACGAGTCAGGAAGCCGGGGTCAATAATGCGAAGCGATGAAACAGGAACACTGGAACAAACAGGATCAAAGACTTGACACTGAGCACAGGGCGAGGCTGGGTTTATATACCCTGCTGATGACTGATCAGAGTCAGGTGAAACACAGCCAAGTCAAGGTGCAGCCCCCAGAGTAGTAGCCATGTCAGGATGAACAGGACTGGAATCAGTCTTCAGTGTAAATAGCTGCTGTGGCTCAGAGGTAGAAAGCAGGACCAGGACTGAGAAGATCCCCGGTTCAAGTCCCCTGTTGGGAACTCCAAGAGCGGCCACGTCTTGCCGTCTGTCTATCAGGTGAGAACCGTGACAAGTAGGCGAACACCGCTGAAACCTCCATAACAGAGTAAATTCGTGCTGAAACTACCGAACGCCCTGCCGTTCGGTAGATAGGATATATTACGTACGGGGATTCCAGCGACCAGCAAGATATGCACGGATGGCAGGATTTTCGTGCCTTTTCACCGCACGAACGAGGACCGACCGCAAGGCCAAAACTTATGGGACTATTTTCGGCAAGTGTGTCTATGCGGACGGTCAAAACTTTAAACCCATAACTCCCGAACGCTTCAACCGAATAGGATGATTTTTTAAATATAATGTTCCCCTAGATGAGGGCTATCTGGGGATACTGGATTTAAGGGTGTACTCCAAGTATTTGGGGTACATCCAAAACTAGGGTAAAAATGTGTGTGTGTTAATTATGTTAACTGTTTATCTGAGGGGAGGAGACGTGTGGGATGTACCATGTTTATTATTGGTTACTGTACTAATTATGTAGGTGTCGCCCTTTCAGGGGCAGAATTGCATAAAAGGAGAATCCTTGTCAATAAAACCCAGTTCTGCTTGACCCTTCAAAACGTAGCTTCGTCTCGTTCTTGAAAGGGGATTTACTGCATAATTACCTTGCTCCTGTTGATAGCTATGCATGACTCTACGCTTGGATCTCGTGGATGGGAATAAGTAACTTCATTACTATACAGCAGCTTGCCAGGAAAAGGACGTCTCCAACGGCTGATACCC